TGTGTTAAAAGCGAGTACACAAAGTGGATTGAGTAGAACCCGGGTCGGGTCCATGTTACAATGAGCAACCAACCAAAGGGACAGAGACATTTTGACGCAAGTAGGCGAACTTCGGGCCCTACAGACGAACCAATATTGACTATTGGAAATCTTTAGGAACGCAGCACCTATTTGACAGGCCAATAATAAGGGCCTCAGGTTAGGTCACAGGTTTGCGTGGATGAGAGTGAGCCAACGGCAGTTTCAGTGTTTCGATGTATATAAGAGGCAACAAGGCAGTCAGCAACAGTCTCCACAAATGCACGGGTGTTCACTTTCTCTAAAAGTCGGCAAACTTCGTAGGTATGTAAACACTGTTTACGTGTTTTTGACCTGCATCACCAGTTATTTTGACGCTGAAGCTGGGGCGTGAACAATCAGTGGCACTCACGCAAGCCTCTTAGTGTCATTACAGGGTAAAGAACAAGGAAAAGAAACCAGTAAGGAAAGAGGTGACTAAATTCCATTACGCAGAGCACCCTAAGGGCTTTAAAAAGCTTTCACGAGATTGTTTGACTCGAGGCTGGTCAGTCGGCTGGAAAAAATGCTTAACACCCGCTCCTTACCACACTACTAAAAACGTTTATGTCCTACAACTACTTTGTACAGCTTGGTGATTTGTTCAACTCTATGCGTGCCTGGGGAAACTAACAGTGTAGTTCAGAAGATACTAGTACGCTACGCCGACCTGTGCTCTCTTTCTACTGGCATTGGTATCGATGAACTCACTGCCATTCTGTCTTAGTTTACATTTAGTATGTACTTTCAAGGTCACTGCAAGTATGTCATACTGGCATCATTCGTGAGCGCATGAGCACTGCCACAATTGATGCGTGAGGCCTCCTTTCTCTAATTAAGCATCAGGGATTAATAAAGTCAACGCTCAACCTGCCAGTGGGCATCCTGTGACTCACGAATTTTGGTCCAGTTGCATACACGGAAAAGGCTTACAGGTCGATGCTCCGCTGATTCACCCTCGAGATCATAACAGAGGCAACTTTGACGGCTGCCATTGAAAACCTACTATTCTTCTATGGGCAGTGCGGGGGTAAACATGTAGCACAATGCAAGTAGAGAGC